GACACCCCTGCCTTTACACATACCAAAACACTATGAAAACTGCACCAGCATTTGTATATAAAAGCCACTCCTACCAATGTGACAAAACTGTCAGGAGCCACTTACAGTCTAGGAAAGGGTATACATGGTTCAACATATTGTGTTCCTGGAAGAATGCTATATCAGAAGCAAGGCAGGAAGAGGTACAGATGGGAAGGAGGCAAGATCATGTTTTGTCTAACAAGCACTGGTACTGAAGAAACAGGGATGCAAGGAGGAAGTAAGGTAGCAAGATTAATAAAGAAAAAGGTAAATTTGTGCAACTTATTTAGTTACATTTTAAAATTAAACACTTCTCCATTGCATTCTTAATTTATAGAGATAGAACAGATATTGAGCAAAGACTACAGAGAAGCTAACAGAACAATTATATTTTGTACTGTGCTCCTTGAGAAGAAACATTAGTATGGAACAAAATTTCCTTTCCTTTCTGCTTCTTCCTATATTTGCTGCTGTGCTACCTGGCTGAAGGATTGAAAGATTCAGGTTCAGCCTCAAACCCTAACAATGCTGACAGTAGGTCCCCTCGAGATACAAAAAAGGAAGTGATTGCCACATTGTCAAAAAACTGCTATGAACTAGAAACAAAACAAAGCAAGCAAGCAGTTTTGGGAACTATCCATCTCAATAGCAATATTGCTCACCAACTGGGCTCTGTCCTCCTGTGAGCTTGCAAGAACATGAGAGACTTTTTAATGGACTGTCTGTCCCACAATTATGTCCTGCTATGGGAGCACACTTGCTATGTCTGGGACCATACCATACATGTGTTTTGAGAGAAGTCAAGCTTCTGAAGCCAGCTGTACTGATGTGAGAGAATTCAGTTTTGTTCTAGCAGAGCACTGCATTTTGTTTAAAGGGTCCCAAAAATCTTATGTAAAAGCATGCTTAACCACCACATTGGCTTGATGGAGGTGTTAACAGCACTTCACGTTTTTCCTTATACAACCTAGCCACAGTGCTCACAATGTTCTACAGAGTGTAAGACTTCCTGGATAGATTTCAAGAACAACCAGTCCCAAAGCAGCCATCATCATGCTAATACCACTCCGCAGGTGATGCTGTTTTTATAGGTGCATTTAATGCTTTCAACTCTTAGCTTTGTTTTCAGAGTACTGTAAAAACTGCATTTAAGCAAAGCAAGGGGCACCCATGTGGCCTATATTGGACTCAAACAACTTTGTAAGTTCAGTCATTTTATAAAGCTTGAGGAAAGCATAGTTGTTTTGAATGTGTGATAAAGGATGAGTATTTAAATCCTTAGAGAAGAGCTGAGACACTAAAGACTGACATGAGAATTTCCCTTAAACTAGACATTAGCCTACATAATTCCTACTGTACCACAAATTGAAGAAAGATTGTTTTTACTGATACTCTTTTTCCAGTGACAATCTGCATGAGTTAATGGGCAATAAGCAAACTTGTTCCTGGACACAACTACATGCTATTCAGTAGGCTACTAGTCAAATGTATTTCCTAAAACAGGGATGCTCAACCACCAGCCCATGGGTCAGATATGGCCCTCAGTGTCATGTCATCCAACCCGCAGGACTCCACATGGGTCCAGAAGTTTGGCAGTGGGGGAGCGATGGCACTGCTCCCCTGCTGCCAAATCTATGAACCCATGGGGTGCCCTTAGCCCTCAGGACCCAACCCTAGTGTGCAGGGAGTAGAAAGGGGCAATGCTGACCCCAGGACTCGATCCAGACAGAGGGAACCTGGGCTGTGGGGCCAAAAGGCTCAGTGTCACTGTCCTAGAACAACGGAGGCTACTCTTTTTAGCATGCCACCAATTAAGCCACCTTCTGAGTGCCGCTCTCATCCCCTGCCTGATCTACTACTTTGATTTCTGCTGTCAGTTCTGTGCTCCTTGCCTGAACTGCTGCTTTGCTTTCTGCTTCTTGCTATATTTGCTGCTGTGCTACCTATCCCCTTCCTGACCTGCCACGTGCCACACACAGGCTGCTGTGCTCCAGGTTTGCCACCCTGTGCTACAACATATGTCTGTGGAATGTCTAGATCATTTACAAATTATGTTAAAGAACTGGCTGTCAATGCACTCTAGTTATTCTTATACACCACAGTTAAGAACATCCATTAATATCTGAATTCTCTGGTAGTTAAAGATAGTACACAGAATGCAAGAAGAGAAAGAAAGATCAGTTTTACAGTTAACTGCTGCTTTTTAAAAACCTGAAAATTAAGCAATTCAGCCACTCCTGAAAGGGCTAAAATTCACCTTAACAGGTGATCTCCTTTTTTCACCCCACCCTGCAAGTATTTGTGTAATGTGAACTATAAACAGCTAATCTTTCAGAAAGTAGGTAATGAAATCCCTCCCACTGAACCAAACTAGGCTAAGAGTTACTTACTATGCAACATATTAATGATATAAAACACTACCCTTACTTCTTTGATCTCATTTCATGATCTAGCCATAAACTTATGGGAAATGGAAAGTTGGGATTAAATGGCTCAAGACAGACTAAGTAGAAAGTCCAAAAGGGTTCTTTCCCTACTCCTACCCCTCATTAAGCAGCTGCCAAAATGTGACACTGAGTTGTGGACTGTGCAGAAAACGAAACGTAGTTATTCAGGAGAAGCAGTTAGCAAGAAGCTCACAATGGCATCCACCATTCTGGTTCCTCCTCTGAAACAAAACGTGATAAAATGTCATGAGACACGAGACTGCTGAGGTAAGCAGGCTGTAAACAGTCATTGCCAAACAGACAAATTTAGCCCCAAAACACCACATTGCACAAGTCATAGAATATACAGGGAAGTGACAAAAGCAAAGATAACCAGAGAAATGGCTGGGTCCCCGTGGACATGTGAAATCCAAAGCAGTGATCTTGGCTACCATTTCTATCCAAAATAAACCCGCAGGAACAGCTTGGAATCAAACAGGTCATTTTAAACTGTAAACATGACTGAGACATAACTTCCTGCTTTTGAGGAGCAGAAGGCCCCCACCACCAAAAGCAAACAGAACCACAGCATCCAAAGGGTGACAACCAACTAGAACTGGCACCATTGCACCAGACCTTCACCCACTGGTAGAAAATATTTAACACGACCAGTACTGTCTGTAGCACTTCCAAGGTAAAGTCAGAAAAAGGGCTGAAAAGGTACTCCAGTGACTACACATCAGGGACCGGCAATTATTTTGGATAGCGGAATACTTAACGGACTTTTAGTGAGTTGTTGAAGGCCATATGGGCAGCCTGGCCCCTTGACAGGTATCCTGCCCCCTGGTCACCATCTTGGGACTGGAAATCCAGCCCCCAAACTGCTGACCTTTGTTACCAGAAGTCCCTCCCCTTCCCCCAGAAGTACTCTTTTTGCCAGGGGGTTTACCACCTTGGAATCAGAAAAAAACAAGTTATATTCTTAAAAAAAAAAAAAAAGTCTACTATAACTTATGTTAATTTGATTTCAAAAAATATTTTTGTCCTGATTTACATGCGTTTGCGCAGTGTACATAAAGGTGATTTCATGATAGCTTAAAATTAAGTCTTATTTTAGTATATTGTGTGGGGGAGGAGGGATGTGTGGGTGGGTGGGTACAGAGTTTGTGGGGGACTGTGGATGTGTGTGTATGAGTATGTGTGTACGTGGGGAAGGGTGTGGATAGGTGTGTATGGGGTGAAGGAGCATGTGGGTGGGTGTGGTCTTACTCTTGAATCATTCACCAACCTGTACAACCATCAGCCCTCTTGGCCTTAGCCCACTTCCTCTAGCCCAGCTTCTCACAGTCTTGGCCACTCTTCTCCGATCATGCCCAGCTCAACCTGCTCTACCCTCTCAGCCTCAGCCCACCCCCACCTTCCTCATGAGGTACGAGGGCTGGCTTTTCTAAGCTTTAACACTGGTCCTGGCCCCACGGCTCCTGCCCACCGCTGCTTCCCCCCTCATCATATGTCATGATCTAGGAAAGTGTCTGCTTCTCTGTGCATGCAGAGTTAAAGCACATGAGACCATAAAAGGGTTAAGAATGGAGCAAGGAAGGCAAGACTATGATACAGATAAGGAAACTTGAGCACATACCTTCAGAACAAGTCAGGACAAACATGGCTGAGCCATCAAGAGGTTGGGCAAAGAGAGGATCTCTCACAGGCTGTATTCTTACAGCGGGGTACTCTTTCCATGGCTAAGCTTAGGATCAAAGCATGCTGAAACCTGATGCAGTCAGTATGCTAAGCTGTTTCCTCCTACCAGAAATAATTTGAAGGTATAACAACCTACACACATAGAGTGTCTTGATATTCAGCTTTGCTCTAAATGCTTTGTACATGGCACTTTTGGAGAATAAAAAGCAAGCAGTGCTTTGTTTGGAAGATGCTGACCCTGGACTGCTGCAAATGTACATTATCAAGGATTTATGCGGAGTCCATATCTTAGTTAGTCATGGAAAAGTATTCATGGTTGACACCCAGGGGTTGTAATCTTAGTTTCAGAGTGAGCAAATTACAGACACCTACCCAAAGGCATCAGGCCAGACCCCAGGCCAGTGTACTCTGAGACCCCATAAATAGACAGGGGCATAGCTAGGTCGTAATCATGATAAGCTGGATTTTCTTGTCCTTCAGCTGAAAAATGTAAAAATTGAAAAAAACTGAAAAAACCCACAATATAAGATTTCAAAACCCAATTCTACTGGTACATAGATGTTAACCTGTGCAAATAGTTTACTGTGACAATTAAACAGAAGCCTCAAAAGTATCTAAGAGCAGACAGCTCTGAAGACGCATCTACATGGGCAAGATTGTTAAATAAGCTAGGGCCCTTGGTTTGTCTGCCCCTTTGGAAGTGCATGGACTAAGCTGCACAAAAGCATTCTTCATGTGGAGCTAAAGTACCCACAAAGACAATTAGGGCTGACTCAGTATTCTGATTTAACCTATCTAATAGAACCGGCGACAATAAATTGATTTTGTAGCACCATCTCAGCAACAGTACCTGAAAAAATAAATCAGTTTATTCATAAGTTGTAAGCACTTATCTGCCATTTTCTGGAATTTATGTGGAAGTGCAAGAAAATAGAAAAGTGCTGGATACTCGTGTCAGCTGAATAGTGATATGTAGTTAGAGCTGTTAGTCTGAAACAGAAGGCAGGATAGATTTGTACCTTATACACTTAACTGAAGTAGATCTCTTCCCCCCCTCCACCACCACACACACACACACTCCAATAAGCTTTCATGAGCTGAAGTTTACTTCTTCAGCATCTAATGAAGTAAACAGTCAAGACCTTTAAAAAAAAACCCAATGTTTTCCATTTGTATAAAGTTAGTTTCCTGAAAGATCATTCTAGACTGAAATAAAGATAGTTCTGATCTCTTGTAGCAAACAGAAGCAGTAGAATTTAAATGTCTGAGGATTAAGAGAAGTCACTCATAAAGAATTCACTTTTGAGCAACTATCTGAGAATTCTCAAAACAGAGAAACAAGCCACGACTAATCCTAATAAAGAAACTCTGGTTTTGTGTAGAGATGTCTATTCAAAGGAATCGCTCACTCTATTCTACCACATCTCTACCTCCCAAAAAGAATGAACATCCCACAATCACAACTGGATAAGGTAAAGTGTCAAGGACAGGAGTATATATGATTGCTTGATACAGCACCTATCCAACACCAAATCATTGGCAAAGCCAAAGCAATGACATTCATAGACTTTTCAAAGGTTGGTTCAGTCAAGAAATAAAAAAAGTCTGACGGTATACCTGCATGGATGAACTGAACACATGGGAGGTGGAGGAAGGTGAGGATGATTTTCAATTGTTACTGTTTTCTTGACATGATCTTGACTAATATCTTCATACATGTGCTCTACTGTTAAAGGCTGTCGTTGCTACAAGTGAAGGGAAATATAAGTTTAGTAAGAAGTGTCAACTGTAGGATCACATCTTTTGCTCAGCAAGTTTGACAGCATTTTATACTTAGATAATGTCTCTTATCCTAAAGGATCCTATAACTTACAAAATTCACTGAGGCAGAGTAGCAAGCAACGGGGGAAAGAAAGGACCTCTAATGAGAAAGAAAAAACTTTAAGAAAAACTGCTAGGGGAGCTTTAAAATTCACAGAACAGATGCACAACATTGTGTTTTGCATATCACAAACTGAAAGAACGAAGGACTGATTCAATATATCTGGATGTCAAACCTGCGGTTCCTCAGTCTAGTTATTCACAGAATAAAGCTTATAGCACCCTTAAAGTAAGATTCTACAATCTTTTGTAATAGAATGAAAGTGTTTTCTTATTCAATGAACCTTCTTCCCATGTAATTTCAGTCCTTATACCTGCTTACTTCACCGACACCACAAATAGAGATTTTTGCTTCCATTGACCCCGAAGAGACAAAAAACTCAAGGTGATGTATTCCTTACTTTCTTGTGCACCATCAGAACTGACTGGTTATTAAAAAAGTAGAATCTTGCTTTTTTCTTCACACAAGCCCAATAAGTGTTGACTACAACCCTGAATGCCTATTATTTCCTCACAGCTTCCATTACATACAAATACATATACATTTAGTCAAGCGGAAACAAGTTGGCCTTGCTACCTTATGTGGCAAGTATAAAATTTCACACAAGTGGTACAAGTATAGGTATACCTCATCATATCCAAATAACCAGAGTCTTGGCGTTTGGTAATATTTGTCATAAGTGATGTAGAGGTCATAAGTTCTGGTCTGTAGAATAGCATCTTCCCCTCCAACATCAGCTTTAGTTTTGCTAGCTTCAACTATTGTTCTTGTATCAAGTGTTGCCTAGTATTCAAGATTTAAGACAAAAATAGCATTATGAACAATTACATTCTTAAGCAGCATAGTCTTCCTTAATTCCCCTTTGCACCAACCCTAAAAAGGGATCCAAAGACTGCAAAAGTTCAAACTGATGTTGTACCCAGGTCATAGGAAGGAGTTGCACTTTTAGTTTTTCTTGGTTAAGCCAATGTGATATTTTTTTGGTCTCTGACAACATCATTTCCACTGAGTTTATGCTAAGACTTGGTAAAACGAATGTTGCAGAGGAGGTACAGAACAGTTCACTTACATCATCTGTTTCCAGCAACCCACTCTCTTCATATTCTGCAAGAAAAAAATACAGAACAAAACTGAGTTTGTGCCTAGCTTGTCATTGGAACCTTGATCCCACTGTGCACACGCATACACTTCTTTTAAAACCTGCACATATGCAATATATATATTTTATCCAGGCAGGCTTTTTAACCTTCCATCAAACTACATCTGGACTCCATTTATTATTGTAAGACTATATACTAGAACAACATGGTAGGTTATCCTTATAGAAAGCATTAGAATATCAGTACTTTTCACTGGATGGCTTTAAAGAAGCATAACTGTGTATACACAGCAATCACTGGGAAGCCATGTTAGACTTCCCAGGTTTTGTTCTCTTGAATTTGGTTGTGTTGCCAACCAACATATTTCAATCACTCATGGAAAAAAAAAATCAAACAGGATTAATTCTAGTAGAATAAGTGGAGTCACACAAGTGTAAATCCAGCATAAAAAGAGAATCAAATCCAGCGAGGGCTTGGACCTTTTAGAAAGCCTCTCATGGAAGGAAGCTGCACTGCTTTCCTACTACATGCTACAGTGGTTGACATGAATGAAACAACATGCATCCTATCCAGCCTAAAAAGGAAATACCTTCCATGTCAGCTGCCTCCCCTTCATCTTCCTCCTCCTCATCTTCACAAGGTGCTGATGGACCTGGCAATTTTATACTGTCCTTTGAAATTAAATTGAAAGTAAGTGACAACTGTTTTAGAGATACCTGTGCTTAAAAAATGTCCCATGCAGCTTTCCTGCTGTGTGCAAAAATCTAATTTGCAGTGCCCATGTTTATGAAGCCAAGCAGCATGCATAAATCATTTCAATATAAATACCTACTAGCAAGTAGAAAACTGGTACTGTACTTCAGCATTTTAGTTTAAAAATGAAGCTTAAAATTTTTGGAAGACTAAAAATCCACTACAAGTTACTAGTGACATATACTTATGTATCTTGCTTCTAAAGCACGTTGTTCAACCTACAAAGTCAATACATGACTTCTGTAGCTGTTCAGGTTGTAAGATATCATTTGCAGTCAAGATTAAATACCTGGGTTTAGGTATGGCACTGACAGGTTTATGTCAACTATGCAACAATTCTCTATTTGTTTTAAAACTATGCAAGATTCCCAAGTTGTCCAAAACCAACTTTGATCCACAATCTCTCACAGAGGAAGTTTTAGATACTGTAGCAGGTCAAACTGAAAAATGGATACACCATGTGCTTTTCGTCCAATATTCTTTTCTTTTCATACAGAACAATTTTTTTATGTTAAAAGGCCCTGCATCAAATTGCCAAGTGCATAAACAGTATGGCTTGCTTGCCTACATAGCCTATGTACTCCATGTGTTTTCGAGTACAGGCAGTCCTCGACTTACAACATTTCAAGTTACAATGTTTCGCGCTTACAACATTTACGAATTGAAACCCTGTTTCAACTTTATGATGTCAGTTTCAACTTACAATGCTTGATCCGATGTGACACCACACCAGCGAACAAGTTCGCTGTGTTGGTCATCTCCCTGGAGAACATCTGTCCAAACTTCCTTGGACACTTTCTTTAAGAAAACAGACAAGACTCCAGAAAAACCTGCAGCCAAGACTCCTGAGAGGACTCCAGCCAAGAGCCCTTCAAAAAGTCCAGCAAAGTCACCTCCTTCCAAATCAATATGATTGCTATTTACAATATAAATACATTAGTGTAGCTATATTACTCATCTCTAATTGATCAAGCACAAAATTCTGGGATATTTTTGGTGAAAATAGGGTATTGGGCCTTGGTTCAGAAACCAATCCCCCATTTATAACATTGTTTCTTATGAGAAAATTGGTTCCAAGTTACAACGTTTCAACTTAAGACACGGTTTTCAGGAACCAATTGTGTCACAAGTCTGAGGACTGCCTGTACAGCATATAAGTATGGGAAACCCTGCATAATAACAAAACCTATCCTAATGCAATTTCACACGAATTCAAGGACTTGTGTTAGACCAAATCAAAACACTGGTCCATCAAGCTAAATACCCTGCAGCTAACAAGGTTCATTGAATCAATACTCCAGATGAAGCAAAAAAAAAATTCAACTGGATACATACATCCATGTTTTAGATCGAGTGAAGAAAGGAATTCAGCATACCAGTGAGTCTTTTCCCCTCCTCCCCCCCAACAAGTTTTTTTTGCTAGACAAATGCATTTCTGGAACAATTCCATGTTGAATACAGCAAAAATGCTTTTGTACAACTGTTGGGAGAACTACTTAATGCGTCTTAAATAGTCATATTGCTTACATGTGGCACATACTAGGCCTCTTCCTTAATTTGTTAAACAGTTCTTGCCTACAATACTCTGGCTTTGGAGACCTTCCACTGCAGTTCAGAGGAACAGCTCTCTGGTTCTAGTAGTGATGCATTTTAAAAAAGCAAACAACAAAAAACAAACAACTCCCCCACCCAGATCTTAGGTTCCACAAGCATCTTTCACACAGTGGTCTTCAAAACCTGCATATCACAGTTAAAGCAGTGAGAGCATTTCCATTTGCAAGTGTTTTCCCCCAAATGCTCTGTATCTTCAAGGTTGGAGTTTTTCAGATCTGGTCCCTGCTCTAGGGTGATTATTTTGGAGAGAACAGGAAGAAGCCACTCAATCAAATATGGTGGTAGAGTTGGTGATTTAATTTCTTACGTGATTTTTATACACTAGTATCTAAGAAATGTGGGGAGAAGTCTAACAGAGAAGTAAACCTAGGTAAGACACATCAGTGGTCCCAATCATAGCATACTTCCACCACCTTAAAGATACCCGGGTTTAAAAACCAAACCAAACTAAAAAAAACCTAAGACAATAAAGCAAAAAGCCACAAAACACTACTTATATACATGTACACTAGTGACCACAAACTGAGTTATTATTCCTTAACATAAGGTCCCCCAATATTCGGAAGACTTTACAGATCCATGCACTGTAAACTTGAGTGGAATTTCATTTTTAGCTTATAGAAGCAAGGGGAACATATGAACAGATTCAATTAAAAATAACCTTGCCTCATTTAGCGGGCATGTGTATATGCTTATATTGATATTACAATACCCTATTATGAAATTCACAGTACAGTCATTCCTTCATGCGTCTTCTTGATGCGCACAGCTTTGCTGACAACATTAGCTCTCTTTACTGTTTATGAACCCTGAATCAGGCTTCTATTGTCCACCAAACTTTCTCCTCCATATGCCAAAATTCATAAGCAGACAAATACCTTGCTGTCCAACGTGATCTCCTGAACTGTTTCTGTCACTCCTGCAACACATGTTAAATTAACACAAGCATCATTATAAGTCAGAAATCAAGGAGATACTTGTTTCTTTATTGATGATAAAAGGACCTAGATTCATAGATTCATAGATTAAGGGTCGGAAGGGACCTAGTAGATCTTCTAGCCCGACCCCCCGCCAGGGCGGGAGAACAACAAAAAACCCCAAAAAGAGAAATGGGACTCAAACGAGTCCAGCCAGGTAGGCATCCAGCCTCTTCTTAAAGACCCCCAGGGTAGGGGCCAGCACCACTTCCCTTGGAAGTTGGTTCCAGCTCCTAGCCGCCCTAAC